CCCCCAAACAGTTTACCTCTAACTTGAGGATTTTCCCTTTAGGTTGGTTTTCGTAGAGCTAGAGTGTTAAGATTTTGGTCAACTTCATTTCCTTGAAGGGTGGGAGAGAAATGAGGAGGAACTGGGCTACCTCAGGAGAAGGAGAGAACCCTTTCCTTTTTACTGCTGTTAATAGATGAATTTGTCTCAGTTATTTACTCCAAAATTTCAGTCTTCTTATGGATTCGTAAAACTTACTTTTACTCTACTGAACTTGTGAAAAAGTTGCGTTGGCATTTCCGATTGAGAATTTTTCTTCAAAAGATTTGCACGTTAGGTTGGATAGCAAATAAGGGTGTTACTTTGTGCAAGATTTCAGTTTATGCACTTAACTTACATGATTGGAATATTTTGTTGCAGATCACGTATAGTGTTCCATATGCCTTGGTATCTGCACGTATTGAGGCTTTGGGTCTTGGCCAAGGTGGGAATTTCCTAATGTTATGGGTGCAAAACTTTTCCTCAGAGATTTTTGTTGCAGAACTTGTTACACTAACATTTACTTTTTGCAGGGCTGTCAATGGGCGTCCTGAATCTGGCAATAGTGATCCCACAGGTATCTTTGCTATATTATTTGTTTGTTTTGGAACACTGCACAGTGGGATTGATGCATTTGACTGTCGTGGCATACAACCACACCTTTTATTCTGTATTTGTAAAACTGGGGGTTTTCTCATTTATAGATCATGAGAGAGTACTTTAGGATAGGATGATTAAATGCAATATTTCTGATCGGAACCTTTCTGTTGAGTTTGACCCTTGGTTCTAAGAAAGAAGTGCCTGACTTTGAGTTCACTCATGGTTATTCTGTCTTGTTTGTGTTATCTTATGATGTTTTGAAGATAACTTCTTCATAATTTGTTACTTTCACACAATGCTAGAATAGCCCTAGGCGCATAAGTTCCCAGCCAGAAAAGATCTAGCCTTAGGTTTAGCTTTCGGGAGAAGGAGAGGTGTCCATATGCTATAAGGCCACAGGTTTAGGAGGTTCTGGTTGATTATTTGAAAAACCAAAAATATATGAAATTTCTTCAAGTTTACTCTCTATGTTTGGGTTGATCAGGCTAAGAAATTCCAAATTATGTATATATATAAAAAAAAAAGAAACTTACGCTTGAAAATGCATTTGAGGTTTTCAATTTCTTTTTTCTTTTTGCTTGTTTGGGTTACGTGTTTGAAGTTGATCAGCATAAAAAAAATCATATTTGTTCTAAATATTATTTTGTGCTGAGAACCTGTATTTTCTTACTCACGTTACTTTGTCTGAGCACTAGTGTTGCATGTGCATCAGTCCCTGTGTATGTACATATTTAGCTTTGCATGTTAGTGAAGCATCTTTGCCCAAATCCTTAATGCACTATATCCTTGAGTACTGGAGAAGTATGAATCCAGCTTTGTATAACCTGCTCTCTCTCTCTCTCTCTCTCTCTCTCTCTCTCTATCTATCTTACTTTACCCAAAACTTTTATTGCTTTTTGATTGAAATCCTATTTCCACTACGTGGATCTTTTGTTAACTGCTACCAATGTCATATTACATATTATATTATATAATATTATATAATGTATAATATCATTCTCAAGTTGTTTGTGTTCACTTTTCATGAATAAATCAGTTTCATATTTTGTAAATACACTCTTGATTGGACTAATATATGAATAAAGTTCCAGTGGGATATATCCATGTATTTGCAGAAACATAATTTTGTAAGAAATATACTTTGATTCCCAAATCCAGAGATGAATATATGGAGGCCTGACTAATTAACAATGTGAAAACTTTGGGATATGAAGGGGTGGATTATAGTTTTCATGTATCTTCCTCAATTTTTTTTTATACTTCTACATTTGGGTTGTTTCCATTTTATGTAACCTTTTTTTTTTTTTTTTTTTTTTTTTTTTTTTTTTTTTTTTTTTTTAGGGATTTTGTTTTGAATTATCTTTTCAAAATTAGATCTATTTAAAAAGGGAAAGCCAGATCCACTCTTCTTGACAACTAGTCTCGTTTGTTGTTAAGGCTTCAAAGGAGAGGGTAATCCCTGTATTATTAAAAGAGAAACTCATGACTATTAGCGCAAAATTAAAAGGAACTCATGACATGATATGTTGTGATGTACAACTTTTCACGAATTGATGATATGAATTTAAAGTGTCCTTTCCCATCTGCTCCAGTATTTACCCCTGAAGAATGAAGCAGTATTGAATTTTTATTGGGTTATGGGTTCGACAATGGAATGCCAGACATGTTCTTTGAACTTGGGGAAAGTAGGACCCTTTGATTGTCTTTATCTCTTTTGCTTCTCTCTCTCTCTCTCTCATAAATCCTTTTAAAAAGTAACCCATTCAATTGTGCTATTGCTTTGTGCTGAAGACATTATAGGTTTCTGTTTAAGAGCCTGTTTTGAAAGCAATTTAAATGTGACACAATGGAAAGTGAAAAACCTTTCCCCATAAATCAATGGCCTGGGATGTGTATTGAGCATTGTAACATGCTTGCTCATTTGTGGCAGTGCACATGAACCTGACACTAAGGTTATACGCATTAAAGAGTTACAATTTTGTGTCGCCATTAATCTCTTAAAAGATGGATATATTGATAAAAGTTCTAACACAATTTGTCTAAGTGAGAGGTGGTTCCACTGGTGATAAGAAAAAACCATGTGATTTATTTCTCTTATCAATCTTTTCTTAGCTAGTGTCTCATTCCAGAGTGATCTCTGGTCATAGCACATCTTTAAGAAGCAGATATGTTCGGGTGAAAATTGCTTAAATGATGTGATTTTGTTTCTTCTTTCTAAGTGATTTGAATCATGAATGTTTGGTTCTTGAGAACAGGTAGTGGTGTCTCTTGGTAGTGGACCATGGGATCAACTATTTGGTGGTGGAAACTCTCCTGCCTTTGCTGTGGCAGCAGCTGCAGCCTTTGCCAGTGGACTTGTAGCCATCTTGGCTATTCCTCGATCTGGTCCTCCGAAGCCCAGGCCTGTGACATGAGGATGAGGTATTATGTTGTATTCGCGGACTTCTCTGTATAGTAAAGTGTTAACTTAAGATTTGTCAATAGCCGGGAAGACACGTTTATTAGTCACTTGAGTCACTTACCTGTTGAGATTGGAATTTGTAGCATTCACAATTTTTTTTTTTAAATTTTGTATTTGGAGCGTTGGAGCACCTTTTTTTTTTTTTTTTTTTTGCATTGAAAACTTAATTGGCCCTTGTGTTGAGATCATAATTTTGTTTAGGCATCTTTTTTTTTTTTGTTTAGGCATTCTGCTTCCATCTACAAGGGACATTGGTGGGCACTCAACGGTTGTAGAGATTGAGAGGACAAATTAGTCATAAAGCCGACTTTTTTGCACAGCGTTACCTTGCAAGGTGGGTGTATTGAAGTAGTGGCTGTCACCAAATGCTGTGGTGAAAAAAGTAATCTACAATTAGTGCAGAATTTCCAAATAAAAATCAGTCCTGCCCGCTTGAAATGTTGCGTTTTTTGGATATTGCCATGGAATAGTAGGTGCAGCCACATCTGTAGATTCCAAAATTACTCTCGAGACTACTTCCCTACCAACCAAGATAAGTTGCTGCGTTTGGAAATTATTCCCCATTGAAAAAGAAAATATTATTATTATTTTTTAATCTTTTACGGCAAAATAGATTGTGCTGTAGGTGTTCAATCATGATGTATGGGAATCTCATGTATTTCGTGCATGAAATTGTTGTATGAATGAATGTAGTGAAATGTGCTTGGTGGCCAACAGTGAATATGTGAATTGTACTGATTGAAACCTTGACAGAGACATGTCCCTTTATGCTCTGATATTATCTTTTTGAAAACTTTGAGTATTATTACGAGCTGAGTTTTTCCTTTATGATAGTTCGCTTCTTCATTACTTTTTTCTTTTAAAATTTTTCTTGTCTTGCTTGCATCTGAACATTGGAATAAATTCTTGCGTTTATTGCACTTATCAGTATCTATGAAAGTCTGTTTTGCTTTCAATGCTCTCATGCAAATGCGTGCTATCGAGGCCTGAGAGAGCATTTAAAAAGATATCTGTCCCTTGGGTACCTTTGCTTTAAGTCATTACTGTTTCAAAGTTGAGAAAAGACGTGGCAGAATTCAAACACCCCAAAATATTGAAAAAACAATACAAAAAAGAAGTTGACAAATAATAACTCACATTTCATGATTATTTAGAATTTATTGTGGTTTGATAGCTAGACAGCGGTAAGATTTTTCCTACATGAATTGACAATATACTAGAAATAGAGAGAAAGGCTTGTGGAGATTGTGTGGTATTTTCCATGAAAAAAAAAAAAAAAAAAAAAAGCCAAGCGTACATTTGGCAATGTTAGTGCCTGCTAAGTTGGAAGTCTCTAGTGTGTTATTGTGAAGAAGAAATGGGTGTCACTGCAGGCGATGAGTAGTGCTGAGACGAGGCATCAGCCTTTTTCAGGAAAGGAAAAGGCGTGGGTGAGATTTGTAGAATCTAGTGAATTTGTTCGAGTGTCTAGATTGGAATATAATCTTTATTAATGTCAAGTTCCTTCCAGCACGTCATGTCATTGCAAAATCCTTTTTCCCAAAACTTGCATTGGTATTTGTATATCTTAACACACACACACACATATATATATATATATATCATAATAGTCTGTTTGTTGTGTGATGCCAAGGAAAAATTCTGTCTGCTCTCCACCATCACAACAACTTGGTTTATGAAATGGTTTTTCTTTCTGATTGATGAGAAGAAAATCACATACGAATGAAAGTGCATGCATTTCCCCTCCGTGGATGTGATGCTACTACTCGTCAATTCCTACTAAGCTGGTGGGATCTACATTCGGTGAGCCCCACTTACAAGTTTTTAGATGCTAAAATTCTTAAAGCTGGGCGGTTCTCCAATTATCTTTTCCATTTTTCTCTATTCTTTTCTTTTCATTTAAGTCCATGATTTTTGTCCACTGGTAATGTTTCTTTTGACACATAGCTCTCAATCTACAGCAACTTATTGAGCTTCGGACACATGAAAATCTGACATTGGAGGTGGGATTTGTGGGAGTGAAAAGAAAAGAATGGAGGGTCATCAGTCATTGGGGGTGATGGTTTTTGCATTTAAAGGAAAAAAAAATCTCATACAGAAATGAAACAAAGTGAAAACTGTGATTTTCTTGAAGTTGTTGAATAGACATAACAAAACAAAACAGATAAAGAAAAAAAGAAAAGAAAAAGTTTTCTTTGAACTGTTGTTCTGCTAGTTTCAGCTGGTAATGGTGGGGCTGGGTTTCTGTTTGCCCAACAGACAGGGCCAAAGCTCTCTCTCCTGCAGAGAGACAGAGTCATATCTGTTGTGTGAAAAGGGATACAAATCAATTGGATGCAATTGGAGCACGTAATTGTCTTCACGGACTCTCTCTCTCTCTCTCTCTTTCTCTCAGTGTTCCCTTTCTTCCATCTGCCTCTTCTCAATACATCCATTTACTGTCATCTCCATTAAAATCCCACCCTTGTGGTCCCATAATTCATCATACAAATTCACTTACCTACAATACCCATGATCATGATAATCTTGCATAAAAGGAAAACACACACACACAAAAAGATTTGACACTTTTTTTCAATGTAACTCAAACACACACCAGTGAAGTAGTTTTCTTGGTCATTAGGAGCTAATTAAATGGGCCTAAACTTAAAAACTTAAATCAAATAGCCACATTACTACTGATCGTGATTTCATATTGGGGGTCAGGATCTTTAACAAAATCTTTACCCATCTCTGTTCCACTTTCTAGGGAAACAAACTCCACACAAAGCTGAGTAGCAAAAAAATAAAAAAATAAAAAAATAAAAAAAAACTCCACACAAAGCCAACTTCAGTGGATCGAAAAAGAAACTCCACCACAAGACATATACATACATCCGAACATATTTTATCCTACAATCAATAGTATTGTATCATTTATCAGAATTCCAAAACCTGCTCTTGGTACTTTTATCTCGTCGTCTTTTAGCGAAACAAGATTATGTGGGGCCATTTACACGAGAAAAAGTTTTTTGTCACCCTCTCAATTAGTTGAACAATAATAAGTAATGCAGTCAGAGGTGTTTGTATAAGGAAATGAAATTTGGCTGGAGACGAGCACTTGGATGGTTTTGGGTTTGGGGCATGGGTTTTATCACATGGGTTGTGTAAAAACGGAACATGCATGGCTGCCTTAGAACATGCAAACACACATTTTCCTCTCTGCCCACAAAAATATTATCCATCGAAAGATATATACCCAACCCAACTTATCATATTGTCCTTGTCATGTCGCTACAACTACAGAAGAGAGAGAAAGAAATGAGGGAATAAAAGATTTTAGTAAATAGTACTATATATATATATATATATACACACACTTAACTAGCTACTTCCACTTGGCTTCCCGAGATAAACTTTTTCTTTTTCAATTTTATTAGATAAGTTGGGTGAAATTGAAAAGAAATGGGAAGCAAGCAAGCACAAAAGGACGAAGGAAAAACATTATCCAGTACTACCTGGGTTTATGATCTACAGAAAAAGATAAAAGTAACATAAACAAAGGTAATAAACCACGACTCAGAAAATGCCAAAACAAGGACCAGAATTTTGTGATCATTTGGAACTAACTAAGATGTGTGTATTGTCTGAAGAGTGGCGGTTAAAAATTAATATGCTCAGCATCAATCACCTATCTAGCTGTACTCTCCTCTCACTTATAGATCACTTTCTTCTCTCTTTCTTTTAGGGCACTACTAAGTTCCACCCAAAGCGTATGAACTTTTGGACATGAAAGAAAAAGACGACCGAGAAAGAAAAGAGCAAAAAAAAAAGAGAGAGATGGGAGTGTCAGCCCCCCAAACTCAAAAAAAAAAAAAACTCTTTTGATGGGTTGGATTGTTCAAAAGAATTTTTTTGAAGACGCTTTTCCATAAGTAACTTCTCTTTGAGATTTTGACACGTTTAAAGGGCACAGAAAGTAGGACCCAACTCAAGCATGTATATATAAAAACCCTTGTAGCTCTTCACCCTCGTTAATATGTAGAGCACCAAAACAAAGCACTAAGACCCCCAAAAAAAAAAAAAAGTCAAGAGTACTCTTTACTTCACATATCCTCATTATATATAGATCCCCCTTTCTTTCTGTTTCTCTTTATCTCTAACCTTCTTTTTTACCCAGAAACTTGAAAAGCTCAACAAAAAGCTATGTGTAACCCGAAACCCTCATCTCCAATATCCTCATTCCTCTGTTCCAAGAAAACCCTTTTCATGAATAATCCCAACAAAACTATAAACGACGACGATGATGACAACAACAACAATCTCCATCCCCGTGTTGGTGATATTGATCAAGACGAACTTCACAGATGGCCAACCCCTTCCGAGGTAAATAAATAAATGTACTCATATTATATCTATACATATATATATATATATATTATATAAAAACATAATGACCCACTTAACCATTTCCCATGACCAACATGATAAACCAACCAACCAAGCACTACTATAGCTAACTCATGAGCAGTACTAAACATTAAACTTAGGTCAAACTTTCTTTACTACAGTACTTTTTAATCTCTGTTCAAATTTTCCAATTAAACTCGTGAGACAAACGGCTTATTAACTTTTCAAGCCTTAAGTTTTTTTTTTTCCTTATTTTTTTTCTTCGCGTTCATGACCTCCCATCATATATTTTTCAGGCCGTGGAAGAAATCAAGGCCATAGCAAAGATCTCCGGCCCGACGGCGATAACCGGGCTTCTCCTCTATTCCCGCGCCATGATCTCCATGCTCTTCCTCGGCTACCTCGGCGAGCTCGAACTCGCCGGCGGGTCCCTCTCGATCGGGTTCGCGAACATCACCGGCTACTCCGTAATCTCCGGCCTCGCCATGGGAATGGAACCCATCTGCGGCCAAGCCTTCGGAGCCAAGCAACGGAAGCTTCTAGGCCTAACTCTCCAGAGAACAGTCCTCCTCCTCCTCTCCATCTCCGTCCCCATCTCCTTCATGTGGCTCAACATGAAGACCATCCTCTTATGGTGTGGCCAAGACCAGGAGATCTCTTCTATGGCTCACACTTTCATCCTCTTCTCAATCCCCGACCTCTTTCTCCTCTCCCTTCTTCACCCTCTGAGAATTTACCTCCGGACTCAGAGCATCACATTGCCGTTGACTTACTGCTCCGCCGTCTCAGTCCTTCTCCACGTGCCGTTGAATTTCCTCTTGGTCGTCAAACTCAAAATGGGCATTTCTGGTGTCGCCATAGCCATGGTCTGGACAAACCTAAACCTATTATTGTTTCTGTTGGCGTTTGTCTACTTCTCCGGTGTTTATACGGATTCATGGGTTTCCCCTAGTACGGACTGTCTCAAAGGTTGGTCTTCTTTACTCTCTTTGGCCGTTCCCAATTGCATATCCGTATGCCTGGAGTGGTGGTGGTACGAGCTGATGATAATGCTTTGCGGACTTCTTGCGAATCCCAAGGCGACCGTGGCATCCATGGGGATTCTGATCCAAACGACGTCGTTGGTGTACGTTTTCCCGTCGTCGTTGAGCCTCGGGGTCTCCGCTCGGGTCGGGAACGAGCTCGGCGCCAACCGTCCCGCCAAGGCCAGGGTGTCGATGATCGTCTCCCTGGCCTGCGCGGCAGGGTTGGGCCTTCTGGCTATGGTATTCACCACCTCGATGCGACATATATGGGGAAGGCTCTTCACCAACGACGCGGAAGTGCTGGAGCTGACCGCGGTGGCGCTGCCGATCGTGGGGCTTTGCGAGCTCGGAAACTGCCCGCAGACGACCGGGTGCGGGGTACTAAGAGGGAGCGCTAGGCCTACAATTGGAGCCAACATAAATTTGGGGTCGTTTTACTTGGTGGGAATGCCTGTGGCCATATTAATGGGGTTTGTGGCAAAGTTGGGGTTTTCTGGGCTTTGGCTTGGATTGCTTGCGGCTCAAGGAACCTGCGCTTTGCTCATGGTTTACGTCCTCTCCACCACCGATTGGATGGTTCAAGTCCAGAGAGCAAGAGACCTCACACAGAATAATAATACTACTACTACCGCTACTACTCTTAATAACAAAACTAATAATGATAACAATAATATTAATAATGCTACTACTAACAACAACAAGAATATTGTTAATCCTCCAACCTTATTGCCGATTAAGCATGTGATTAAGGAAGGCAATAACAAGATTAAGGCGATTAATGGTGGTGGTGGTGGTTGTGATCATCTAGAACTTGAAGAGATTGTGATCAAGTCGGATTCATCAACGCAAGAAACTGAGCCTCTCATATCTGCTGCAGATGATCACACACGTAGCAGTAGCAGTGATAAGCATTAAATCGGAATATATATATATATATATATAATTAATTATTCTCGTGATGATCTCCCATTTTTGCCTCTCGTACGTGGCTGAGGACAAATATAACCAATTATTAATGTGAAGATTGATTTGTTTTCTTTTTCTTCTCTCTCTTCTCCATCTTCAATTCTACTCTTTTTTTTTTCTCTCTCTCTCTTGAGTATTGGTGTATTAACATTATTGTAAAATAGAATGAGGAAAATATAAATATATTTACTATATTTGCTTATCCCCATAATGATACTGGTACTTTTGCTGTGTAATATTATTTGTCAAATAATAATAATATTAATGCGCATGTGTTGGTTGGCGCGCGTGTGTGAGGAAGAGAAAGAGGAGGTTTGTCGGTTGTTTTGAGGCGTGACCGAAAGGATCTTTGCCGACCTTTTCTTGTCGTATTCTTCTAAATTGGGCAACAATCTTGACTGCCTAAAACGGAAAAATTAGCATTATGCCACCATAATTAACTCGACCCAAATTTTATTATACTATCTCTATTTCTTGAATTTATTTACTATGATATCTATGCTAAGCTATTTATTATTCCACCTCCACTTCCACAATTTATTTTTCACCACTTGCGCACTCTAGGTCCGCTCTTTAAGTGAATGTACAGGATACTCTACCTTTCATTTTATTCTTCGCTCGATATTTTAACAAGTGGTTAATTTGTTCCTTTTCGTTTTTAGATATTATTAATTATGCATTGCCCTTCGATATCCATAAGTTAGAGCATCTTGAATGTAATGTTAAATTGGCGTGCTAATATCAACTTTAACATTTGAGTCAAAAATCACTCTTTAACGTAATGCTATTTTTTATGTTAAATTTAACTAATGCTACATGGACGCAAATTTTCCACAAATATAACAAATGCTAAATTTAACATTTTGATCACTATTGATTTATATTAACTTTTTTTATTTAATCATTACAGTATTGTTCTTTTGTATTGTTTTTTTTAATAATCTGGACAAAATAATACATATGACATTTGAAATAGTATTATGGGTAGAGTACAAAAAACAGGATAACATATAAAATATATTACTTTCACACGTTTTAGTGACGAATATAACATTGACCTCGTATTATCATCCTTAACAACTCTTTTTGATGTGTACATACATATCTCGTCTAGATAGAATCATAATGGGCATGTAACATATAAAAGTGAAAATTGAACAATATATTTGTTTAATGTAATTGTTTTATGATTAGACTTGCTCATAGTTGATGCATATAAAATATATTATAACTGCCACTTAAAACTAGCTCAAATGATTATTGGGTGCGTGAATGGTTTGACAACAAGGTGGTCTACTGATATATTTGATTGAATATATATATATATATATATATATTAGTTTTCACCTTTTATTTTTTCTCAAGAATCGTTTATAAGTCTGAAAATTTTCTTTTCAGGTTTTTTTTTCTAAAAGAAAAAATTATATAGTATACCGTCAAAATTCAATACTTTACATCTATGTTATCTTTGTTGAGATTTAAAAATATATATATATATATTCTTGTAGAATATCAATAAATTCCATCATAATACTCGCCGAAGATGTTCAACCATCTTTATGGGGAAGAAAAATATTCTATTGGGATATTTTAATTGAATGGCATGCATAGATCATTAAGTTTATGCCATTATTTGGCATAATTATAAAGGTGACATCTTTTAAATTGTATTTTTGTATTTTTTTCTTTTTTAAAATATAGTAACGTAGTGTGACTATTTGGATTATATTATATTATAGTATATAGATAGGAAGATAGATTGCACACGGGTCAAAACTGTATGGCGGTCAAACTTTGTTGGAAGGTCATGAGGTGTTATATTTAGTTGTTTTCTTACTCCCATTGGTTAGATTCTACCAATTATGATTGTTATTTTTGTTTCTTATATGTTAACTTCAGCATCTTTACTTCAACATAAGTCATGATATGTGACTTTGATATTATATATACACGTTCAGAACGAACTGATGTGCTTATTTTTATTTTCTTTCGAGATATGAATAGAGATTTTAAACAAACCATATGCATGACGAAAATGTCCTTTTATTATGAAACATTGGAAAAGTTTAGCTAATTATACTATACACAATATGTTATCCAAAGTACACAATTATTGTATTAATTTTTAACACATAAATGGTGAAAGTAAACGTGGGAGTAGTTATTGAAAACACGAAATAACTACATGCATGAATATGATAATTATTTAAATTTTAACCTTTGTCCTTCAATTTTTACTTATTTCACATTAATTACAAATTTCTTATGTTAGACATATATATAACAAGTGTGAATATTTATGTATGCCATCCATTCTAACAACATACATAATAAGAACTAATTAAAAGAAAAATGAGAAAGATCTTAAGAGCGAGGGACTTTTTCTGATACATTTTTCTTTCGATTGTGTCAGTTTCTGATCGTTAGATCTAGTTAAAATCACATTAAATTAAAAAAATATGTAAAATATATAGTTTATAATACATATTTAATGGTTGAAAAATAAAGGACTACTAATACTTATTTTTTTTAGTTTTCTGGGAGAAACTCCTTAAGGAAATATATATATATATATAGAGGACAATAATTGGAAGTAGAGAAGTATGTACTGAAGAAGAACAAGAAGAGAGGGCCCTTGGAGGTGGAGAGAAGGGTGCAGGGGTCCCCTGCTTCAAATTGAAGAAACAAAATCCAGCTATTATTGCCTCTGTCTGCTTCTCAGATGACAAAAAATTATTGGAGCAGTACTCCTGCAAAAAGCAGTTTCTCCCTCCACCCTCCCCACTACCTAATACCCCACCAAAAAAAAACAAAAAACATAAAAAACAATCAACATTCTCATTTAGTTGGTTAAAAAAAATCATGTCTTTATTAAATAAAGGGAAGATCATATTCATTTTATTGATTTGAGTTTTGTCACAGTAAAAAACTCTCATAAACAGTCACATCTATGATATAACTTTTTTACTACAGTAAAAAAAATTCTCATATAAAGTCACATCTCAACTCAGATCAACGAACTAAACGAGTCCGAAGTGTATTTGAAATATGATTTGGATTTTAATTCAAATTTTTTGTGAGAGAACTATTGACAATAACTTTTTTTATTCAACTTCTTTGTGAGAATAAAACACTGTAGCATAATTATAGTTTGAGTTTTGAGTATATGTACTAAACAACCTGTAAATATCTAGAATTAAAATTCGCTTTTCTTTTAATGAAATTAAGATGGAATTTTGAGAATTTATTTTCTTTTTTGGAATAAGCAAAAAATTATTTAAAAAAAGGGAGAGAAAAAGACCTAATTAAGTCATAAAAGGCTAAAAAGAAAGAAGCAGAAATTGTTGAGAATTACTTCATCGATCTGTAATTCGTAGAAAAGAAAGGAAAAACAAAAGGTACACAATCTTATTACGCGTGTGCTCACAACAACACACATGGAAAAGGGACAATTTTTGGGGGCCCTTTGAATTGGTGTTTCTAAGTACTCGCATTGCATAAGGCCATATCCTTTTTATTTTATTGTTTTAAGTGGTTCTTTTCTTTTATTTTATCTCTTGTTGCTCGTTGGTTTCCTAACTACTACTGCTTTTTAAGACTGCCACTTCCCCCCCGTCTTGCCTTTTTCTTATCTTCTTCCACAAACTCATATAATTATATATGGATATATATATATATATATATATATATATGTGTATGTATATAAATATATGATATATCTCTGTGTACCTATATATAGTTTGCTCCACAACCATGCATTTGTGGCAAATAAATATTTGTCTTCGTAATGGGTGGTATATTTTGCCTCAATATTTAAACCGATATTGCCAATAGAAAAGGTTTGACAACTGAGTAAAATATATGTTATATATATGCTTTCAATAGTGTACTCAAAGTATAAGTGATGTCCACGAGAGAGATCATGATGCCCATTTCCAAATGACTCAACATTAATTTTATTAAGCAAAAATAAAAAAAAAGTCCCAATATATAGTTTCATTTAAAACATGCATGCATCATGCACACTTTAGGTATATGGATGTCGTCTAGATCATATAGCTAGTTGGGTTTGGTAAGAAACAAGAAAAATGTAAAAAAAAAAAAAAAAAAAAAAAAAAAAAAAAAAAAAAAAAAAAAAAAAAATTAGAGAAACATTTTATGCGTGTATAGACATTGTTTGGGATACATAGTACATTCTATTATCTTGTGCTATAAAGTCATACTACACGATAAAATAATAATGCATGCTGATATGAATTCTTTTTTTTTCCTTAAAAAAAAAAGTTTCTCCTCTTTTGTGGTTAGTAATTTGAGCATGCATGCCTACATATAAGTTTTTCCCTATTCTAATGATGGTAGAAATTTATGTGTATGATCATTCTCCCAAAAAAAAAAAAGAATATATATAAAAAAAAACCACTTGTGTAGAGAGATCAGGAGAGATAAGCAGGCTGTGGTTGGCTGATGTACAGGAATATAATATTAATGGATTTATGTGTGTGTGTATGGATGATGACAAAATTTCCATAAGATGTGCAGAAGATGCTTAAAAGTCGAGAGTTGTGAAAATATGAGTTCGTGCACATTGGTACTGATGTGCCTCATCAATTGTGGATAAACAGAGGGATGGCCCTCAAGGGGGTGGAAAAAAAGGACAATTGATACCTACACCTACTCTGCTTCTCCAACATTATTGTTTGTACTAAAAGTGCATACATCATGAAACCTAAACAAAAAAAAAAAACCAAAAAAACAAAAAATCTCTTCCATTATGCTTGCCTTGCTACTTTTCTAGATTTTAGATTGATATGATGTTGTTGATTTTCAAAATTAAAATCAAGTAGCCCCTTGTTTGTTTCTGCTTTTCTTTTCGATGAATTGGAAATGTTAATGGAAGAGTTTAATCTCGTATTATACGTAGATCAATCGAGCATGTTGTTAATCGGATTGTAAACTTTCATGATTTTAAGTTGATTATTCTGTTTTTAGTTGGATTGTAAACTTTCATATATATATATTTTTTATATTATTCTTT